GAGTCAAAACTGTGGCTATAATCACTTGAATTATTATATTTTAGTTATTTGATCCTCTAATTCATTCCATTTTCTTTCTAATCCTCTTAACTCCGACAAAGTGGTAAAAGAACAATTTGCAACCGCACTAACATTAAAGTAATTCCAACACATTCTAAGTGAAACCGTGTATAGAACTGAGAAACATGGAATTAGTCATCTTTGATCCACATAAAAAGTAATTGAAGTTGAAATGTAGCCATTCATTTCAAGGGTTTAGGGCTGATAAATTGTTTTGGAATTTAAATTAAAAGAAATTCATATTCTAGAGTATTTTTTTTGGGGTTTAGGGAGGCTGGTACCTTCCTAAAAATTTAATAGGATAAAAATATACTTTTAAAAATTATTGAGATAAAAGTACATCTACTAAAAAAAAGTCATAAATGTCCTTTTACCCCTACCATAAATAGTGCATACCTAATTGAATGTAAGATTTTCAAGACTAGAATGTGAAATTTTTAAGATTCCTTTTGATATTTGTGTATCATTTGAATTTTAAAATTTCATATATATATATATATAGTACACATATATATTTGCTCACTTAAAGAGTTGTACCTAAAGATAGACTCAAAAAATTGTTATGCAAATATAGTGTCACCAAAAAGAGACTGTGGGGGTCTAATCAATGATATCATGTAATGCTTTCCCTAATAGTGTCCAAGTAGTGTTAGTAAAGAGTGACAACAATAGATTGACCATAAATGATGACAATATATATTTGTCCACTCAAAGAGTTACATAGAAAAAAAAGACTTGAAAATTTGTTATACAAACAATGTCACCAAAGAGAGATAAGAGATAATGACAATGTGGGTCCAATCAATGACATCATGTAATGCCCCCTTGATAGACCCAAGTAGTGTCAGCAAAGAGTGACAACTAAACTTTTGTTTGATGTTACTATTTTTTTGTTGAACATATTACTGTTTGATATTACTCTATATGTGTATGTGTGTCATATATATATATGTGTGTGTGTGTGCGTGTGTGTATATATATATATATATGAAATTTCAAAATTCAAATTATACACAAATATCAAAAAAAATCTTAAAAGTCTCACTTTAGATATTAGAAATATAAAAATTATCAATTAGGTATACACTATTTATGGTAGAGATAATTATGAAATACATTTTAGAAAGAATTTGAAAATGTTTTAAAATGTGTACTTATTAACAACTATTGGATGAAAAAAAAGAACTTAAAGAGAATAAGTTTGGAGGTAATACTTATGCTCAGTTTGGTAGGGAGGATGAAAAGTAAGAGAGATACATTTTCTATCCTTCAAGGATGGAAAGTAGGAAGGATACATTTTCCTTCCTTTGTGTTTGGTTGGATAGATGAAAAATAAAAATGACTACTTTTTTTTTTGTGTTAGCTAAGATTTAGGGTGACAATCGAATCATGTCATGTCAGATTCGTGTTGAGTTATTACGGATTTATGTCAAATATTAGTCAGACCTAACTTAACTCATTTAATTAATTGTGTCGTATTGAGTTGCGATTTGACCTGTTTATTTTCGTATCGAGTTCGAGTCATGTTATCGTGTTGAGTCGAAAATTTTCACCCTTAGTTAATATATATATATATA